GGCACTGGGGACACTGGGGGGACACTGGGGGTACTGGGGGCACTGGGGGGGCACTGGGGGTACTGGGGGGGCACTGGGGGCTCTGCTACAGCCTCTACAAGGGAGGCCTGGGGAGCCCGGGGGACATTTGGGGACATTTGGGGACACCTGGGGGAGGGCACAGGGACATGGGGTGGCACTGGGGGGGTCCCGGGGGGACTCTGGGGGTCCCCCTGACCCCCCCCGTCCCCCCCAGCTGGGATTCTTCAAGCGCTCGGGGCCCTACGGCACCGCCATGGAGAAGGCGCAGCTGAAACCCCAGGCGGCCTCCGAGGCCTGAGGGGACCCCGCGGTGACGGGGACACCCCGAGGTGACGGGGACACCCCGAGGTGATGGGGACATCCCTTGGCTTGGGGACATCCCATGGCTTGGGGACACCTCCCAGCCTGGGGACCCCCACAAGGACAGTGTCACCTGCGTGGTTGGGGACCCCCACCCTGCTGGGGCCACCCCCCTGCCACCTCCCCGCCACCAGAGGTGTCACCTGCACCCACCACAAGGGTGACGTCACCTCTTGGGGACCCTCCCATGGCTGGGGACCCCGCAAGGACAGCGTCACCTGCACGGCCGGGGGTGTCCCCAGTGTCACCTGCACGGCCGGGGGTGTCCCCAGTGTCACCTGCACGGCCGGGGTGTCCCCAGCGTCACCTGCACGGCCGGGGGTGTCCCCACCTCACGATCGATGTCACCTGCATGGCCGGGCATGTCCCCACTGCTGGGGACCCCACACTGCCACCATCCCCTGCACCAGTGGTGTCACCTGCACGGCCAATGTCACCCGCACGGCCAATGTCACCCGCACCGGTGACATCCCCCACTCCACCCCAACACCGGACTGGGAATTACCAGGACAGCCAACACCAGGCTGGGGACATTGTCACTGGAACTGTCACAAGAACTGTCACCAGGCTGGGGACAGTCACAGGAACAGTCACTGCACTGGGGACACTGTCACCGGAACTGTCACCGGAACTGTCACTGGGATGGGGACACTGTCACCAGAACTGTCACCGGGCTGGGGAGCCACCAGGATGTGTCCCCACCTCACGGGAACCCCCGGCACAGCCGCCACCACCGGCTTGGGGACCCCAAACTGGGACAGGGAACACCCCAGGATGTGTCACCACTGGGAATTGTCACCATCTGGGATTGTCACCATCTGGGATTGTCACCACCGGCAGCTGTCACCACCAGACTGGGAACCGCCGGCCCGTGGGGTGACACCGAGGTGGCACCAGCACAGACACCAGCAGGACACTACAGGGACACTGCAGGGACACTGGGCCACCGCAGGGCCACCGCAGGGCCACCAGGACACCGCAGGGCCACCACAGGGCCACCAGGACACGGCCACACCGGTGGCTGCAGCGCTGTGACCTCACCCGGGACAGGACCTGGTGTCACCCGGTGTCACCCGCGGTCCCCCGGTGTCACCGGCACTGCCCCCGCCCCCGCCCCCACCTCACTTTGCACTGACCCCGAGTTTGGGGGGGACACGCCTCGACCCCCCCCCGTCCC